AACCGCTCTATCATCATGCTTCTGTCTCTTCTCCTTCAGAATGTGTGCAAATACCTTGTAACCAAACACCTTCAGATAAGAATAGAAAATATCTTTTTCGGACCAAATTCTCTCTGGAATATCAAAAATAAAGGAACTGAAGGATACCTGTTGATTATGTAGCATGCAGTGTGAACAACTTCAGCCCAGAAGCTCTTAGGTAACTTCGCCATCTTCAACATTCATCTGACTTTCTCCATAATGGTCATGTTATACCTCTTTGCAACTCCATTATGTTACGGTGTGTCGGGCTCTGTCCTCTGATGCAGAATACTATGTTTGGAGCAATAACATCTAAATTCAATGGAAGTATGCTCTCCTCCATTATCGGTGCGCAAACACTTCAACTTCTTTCGTGTTTGCCTCTCCATCATGGCATGAAACTGATGGAAGACTGAAAACACCTAATCCTTTATCCTCAATAAGAAGACCCACATCCTTCGTGATGCATCATCAAGAAATATGACAAAATGCTTATTGCCACCCAAGTACTCTACCTCAATAGGACAACAAACATCAGAATAAATCAAATCCAGGATATTATCTTTACTTTTAGAAGGTTTACTAAAAGAAACTCTATGTTATTTGCTAAACAAATAATAATCACAATGGGTGAGTGACGAACCTTTGACAAAGAGAATAAGAGACTTCTTTGCCAATATCTACAACCCTTTCTCGCTCATGTGCCTGAGCCTCCTATGTGACAACCTGAGAGTGTCACCATCTTGAGCCACGCTCAAAGAATCATATGAAGCATTTGCTTGAGTCTTATATAAATTGCAACATATACTTCCTTTAGCAACCACAAGAGTGCCTTTGGTGATTTTACATTTTCCTCCCGAATTCAATTTCATATCCCATTCGGTCCAAAGTAAGACCTGAAATCAAGTTGAGCCGCAAATTAAGAACATGTCACACATTCTTTAAGATCAATATACATCTGGTATCTATCTGCAAGTATATATCACTAAGTCCCACAATATTCGAGTAGCTGGTATTGCCCATCTTCACATTGCCAAAGTCACATGCTTTATACAACGTAAAATATCTCAATTGGAGGTAGCATGACATGTAGCTCCTGTATCTACTATTTACTCGAAATTCTGACTTGTAACATGCATACAGTCTTCTTTCCTGTAAATGAGAATAACATCAGTCTCAGACAAAATAGCTGTAGTGTCACTATCAGCTTTCTTCTTCTCATCTTTTTTTCATCTTTGTTCCCAGCTTGATCTTTCTTCAATGCCCAACAATTTCTCTTGATATAACCTAACTTCTCATAATAAAAGCAACCTCTCTTTTTAGACTTTGATCTGCCCTTGGATGCACCACGACCTCTGGACTGGTCCCTGTACCTGCTCCTACCCATGTTCTCCATGACAAGTGTATGTAAGTTATCTATACTGGTAGACCTCCTTCGAGTATCCTCATTGAATAAACTACTAGTAATCATACTCATCGATAACATACCATATAGATCTGTGTTGCTGACTGTCACAACCAGTGTCTCCCAACTGTCTGGTAAAGAACCCAATAGCAATAAAGCCTGTAGCTCATCATCGATAGTCATCTTCATGGTAGCTAATTGATTATAAAGAACCCAATAGCAATAAAGCCTGTAGCTCATCATCGATAGTCATCTTCATGGTAGCTAATTGATTAATCAAACTCTTGAACTCATTCAGTAGCTCATCATCGATAGTCATCTTCATGGTAGCTAATTGATTAATCAAACTCTTGAACTCATTCAAGTGCCCTGCTATGTTGCTTCCTTCTTTAAATTTTAAGTTTACCAATCGCCTCATAATAAACGCTTTGTTTCCCACGGTCTTCTGCTCGTAGACATCCTCAAACTTTTTCAAAAGAGACTTCCCATTAGTTTCATCCTATACATGATGAAACACACTAACATCGATCAACATCCGAATAACCGATCACCTTCCTATGTTGTTTTTCTCATTCTTTATCAGTCATTTTTTCTGGCTTGGCTTCATCTCCCTCAATAGGGTCATGTAAATCTTTACAATACAGAATATCTTTCATATTAGACTTTCATACTTGCCAATTAGAACCATCCAATTTTATCATTGTGCCAAAACTCTCCATCTTTTTTATCCCAAAGCACGCCTCGAATCAGAGCTCTGATACCACTTGTTAGGGATTTTATGGAGATTAATTTGCGGAATTAAACACTAAATGAATAACATCACCAATGAAAATACCACAAGCAAACAAACGATTTAACATGGCTCGACAAATCATGCCTACTTCCACGGGGCAATCCAGAGAGAAATATTTTACTATGAATCAAGAGTATAATCCCTCCAAGTTACCAATGAACTTAAGGATTAAATCACAAGAGAAAAATATAGTTTACCTTTAGGGTACCAAAACCCTAAAACCCATTATCTCACCAAAAATCACCAACACCCGCAGAGAAACCAACACCGTACCCTCGACGGTGTCATTGTTCTGAAGACAATGGTTTTTGAATCACTACAATCGGACAACCGAGCTATCCGAAATCTGAACTTTTCTCTCTCTCCCCTTTTTTCTCTAGGTACTGTTCACAGTATTGCAGCC